AAGAAAAAGAAAAGAATAACTTGGTTTGCAGGTTGAACAAATCTCTGTACGGTCTAAAGCAGGCGCCGAAGTGTTGGTATAAGATATTTGATTCCTTCATTATGTGACTTGGATACAACAGACTTAATGCAAACCCTTGTGCTTATTTCAAGAGGTCTAGTGATAATGATTTTGTTATATTGATGTCGTATGTGTAACATCCCAAAATACGGGTTAGTGATTAACGTATAAAACTTCAGAGTTTGGTGATTGAAGTAGGATATTTGAATAGTTTAATGATTTGTTCAGAAATATTTCCTGAAAGTTATTAGTAATTATCAAAGGAATTAATGGGCAAAATGGTCATTTATCATGAAATATATTTTTATCTCTTTATGAAGAGATAAACGTTGGGGGAGAGTATTTAGAAAACTCTTCTTCTTACCTTCTTCTTCTCCAACGTGCAGAGCATAATGTAAGGGTTTTCTGATTTGTTGATTATTTGTTAAATTAAAGGTTAGGTTTGGATCATTAGATGATAACTAAGCTTAAGGAAAGCTTAAGTTATCTTATAATCAAAAGATGAAGAAGTTATAAGAGATTTAAGAAATGAGTTTTTATATGAAATCATGGAAAAGAGTTGATAAGATGAATTTGAAGTTAATTTTGACTTGTCATCATGCTAATTAAGGAATATGAAGTGTTAGAATTATATTTAGAACATATTAAAATTTGAGTATGATTCTTGAATTACATATGAAGGATAGGATTTTGAAGTTATAGATGATTTTCATGGATATAGGTTGGTTTAAGTAATGGTAGTTGAGTTTAATGGCATGATAGGGGTTTAAAATAGAAGAATTAAGTGAAGAATTGATGATTTTCGGGGTTAAAATACAATTTTTGGGTAGAGGGAACCGATACCCTATGAAGGGAATCGATTCCCCCTCTTGGACGAAAATTCCAGTATGTGCAGGGGGAACAGATTCCCCCTGGAGGGGTATCGATTCCCCCTAAATGAAAAAATGAAATTTGATTCATTAAACCGGTTTAAGTTGTTAACATCAAGGTTAAGGTTTAGGCTTCTGATAGTTGTTTTGAAATGTTATATTTATGTAGATATTGAGGCTAAACAAGTTCTGGAATAATCAAAGGATTATAATTGATTCAAATCAAACAAGGCGAATGTGAGTGCAATTTTAATTGTACTTATATTATTGAATGAACATTGGCTTGTGATGAGCCAATGATGGAGTTAATATGGTAAGAAGTGACTCCTAAAATGTTATTTGATATGTGATTCTTATATGTACATAAATACATGATATGCATAAACATAAGATACATGTGATATGATATGATATACATGACTATATGCATATGTGATATATGCTATGAGATATGACCAATGTGAAATGAAATAAGCTATGTGAAATATGAAATGACATATGAATATGCAGTACGTGATACATGTGATATGATATGAAATACATGGTTACACATACATGTGGTATGTGACAGAAGAGAAAGAACAAGTGATGAGAAATATATTCATAATAAATGCCCATAGTATATGATACGAGAGTTATATGTATAGTTGGCATGCCAAGAGTCGAGGGTTACATATGTCATATAAGACATATGATAGGTCCTACGGGACACATATTACATCCTTCGGGATGACAGGTCCTTCGGGACACAGATGACATTCTTCGGGATGATAGGTCCTTCGGGATATTTGTACGAGCTGTGGTGACAGCATATGTGTGCACAACCTCAGTGTACTCGTATACCTCTATTCTCAATAATATACATGGGCAATACAATTGCAAGATAAATTAAAGTGAAAGTGATACAAGAAGGTAAGTTTCACATGTGCATGACATGATTTTATATATATGTCATATTGAAATATATACATGCATATTGAAATGTTATGATTAAATGGTAAGAATGCATATTGAAATATATACATGCATATTGAAATGTTATGATTAAATGGTAAGAATGCATATTCATGAAATCTACTGTTACATGTTTATTTATTTCCTCACTAAGTCTATGACTTAGCGTGTAAGTGATTTACACGTAGGTACCAAGAAACGTGAAGAGCAAGAATAGAAGTAGCAAGGACAATATTATTACTAGAAAATCAGATAAGAAGTAATCGACAAAGTATGTATTTTGGTGTGTATAGAGTGTTGCCATGTAATAAGTCGTTAATTATGAGTACTCTGATCAAGTTTGTAGTTTGTGGTCTCTTTTATGTAAATTAAAGTATTTTGTTTTAAACAAAGTTTTAAATTCCCCGGGGTTTTTATTTAAGTGTCAAGGTTTGAAAAGTCAATGTGACACCTCAGACTCGTATTCGGGTCGGGTACGGGTTGGGGTGTTACAGTATGTGGATGACATTTTGGTTGCAGGACCCAACAAAGATCATATTGAAGAATTGAAGGCACAACTGGCTAGGGATTTTGAAATGAAGGACTTGGGATCAACAAATAAGATTTTAGGGATGCAAATTCACCGAGACAGAAGTAATAGGAAGATTTGGCTTTCACAAAAGAATTACTTGAAGAATATCTTGTCACGATTCAACATGCAATATTATAAGTCAATTTCTACCCCTCTTCCTATTAACTTCAAATTATCCTCCAGTATGAGTCCTAGCAGTGAAGAAGAGAGGATGGAGATGTCTCAAGTACCGTATGCATCAGCGGTGGGAAGTTTAATGTTCGCTATAATATGCACAAGACCAGACATTGCACAAGCAGTGGGAGTGGTTAGTCGGTACATGGTGAATCCAGGCAAAGAGCATTGGAATACAGTCAAGAGGATCCTAAGATACATCAAAGGGACCTCAAATATTGCATTATGTTACGGAGGATCAAACCTACTAATCAATAGGTATGTAGATTCTGACTATGCAGGGGATTTGGATAAAAGCAAATCTACTACATGATATGTGTTCAAACTTGCTGGTGGAGATGTAAGCTGGGTTTCAAAATTGCATTCAGTTATGGCTACATCCACAACAGAGGTAGAATATGTAGCAGCTACACAAGGCAGTAAAGAAGCAATTTAGTTGAAGATGCTATTGGAGGAGTTTGGGCACAATAAAGAGTATGTCTCTCTGTTTTGTGACAGTCAAAACGCCTTGCATCTATCAAGGAATCCAACATTTCATTCAAGGACAAAGAACATACGAGTTCAGTACCATTTCATCCGTGAAAAAGTGGAAGAATGGATGGTAGATATGCAGAAAATCCATACCAAAGACAACATAGCAGATTTCATGGCGAAGGCAATCAATATTGATAAATTTACCTGGTGTCGATCCTCTTGTGATATGTTAGAGACATAAGCAACATGAATGAAACAAGGTAGAAAGAATGGTGTGAAGACATGATTGTTCCGATCAAATCTTCAAGTGAGAGATTGCTAAAAGTCAAGACTATTTTAGGTGATGCATTAAAGCACTGAAAGGTGCAGAGTAGGTTTTGTTGAATTTTGATAAAGGAAAAATCTCACATTTAGTCATTATACTTTAGGGTATTTTCAAGATTAGTCCTTAAGCTTCAACTATACATACCCTAACCTATTTAGCTTTAAAACCATCCCAAATTATTCTTGCTTTCTCCCAATACTAGAGAATTTAGAGAGTTTCTTGAGAGTTGTTTTTTTTCCTTTTTATCAAGAGAGAATTATAATTGTTTTCTCCTTGTTAGATTGAGAAAGGTTGTAATTCATATTTTCTCATAGTGAATTTCTTCTACCGTTGCCCGTGGTTTTTACCCTATATTATTTAGGGGTTTTCCACATAAAATTTGTGTCCTCTTTATCTTTATTTTCTCAAATTATCACTTGCAATTTTGCTCTATCCGATAACCGTCTTCCGCAACAGAATTATGTACGGGAAATTAACTTGAAAAACCCATTTTCTCTTATCAAAGGCAAGAGCCAATCATTACAAGAATTTAATGGAACCACTTGATTATAATAGGTATAAAGATAATATACATAAAAAATGAGTTGAGTTTCTTTAATTTTCGGATAAAACACATCGGAGGTCACTAAATTATACTCAAATGACTATTTTAATCATTGAATTTTCAAAAGTTACAAAAGGATCGTTGAATTTTATCAGATTATTATAAAATGGTCATTAAATTTATCAAAATTTTATTACAATAACTATTTTATAATAATTTAATAACCATTTATAATTTATAAAAATTTAGTGACCAAAACAATCATTTTAGTTCATTGAACATGTTTTTATTTTACCCTTAACTTTTCAACGATGGAGAGAGAGTGTTTTGAGTTAAGGGGATGTGCCTGAGTCTCGGGAAATACTCACGTGCGGTAGCCTTAATATACGACTAAAAAAACGTTATCGGTTTTGTTATTATTTAAATAACAAAACCGGTAAAAAATGACCGAAAATATTATTAGGCACTAAAAAATGACCGATTTTGTTATTATTGGGCTTTTTGACCGGATTTTTGAAAAAATGACAGAAAACATTATTAGGTGCTAAAAAATGACCGAAAATATTATTAGGCGTTAAAAAATGACCGAAAATATTAAGAAAAATGATGTTTTAGGTAAAAATAATAATATTATGGGTAATTTTTTTACCAATTTTATTATTTAAATAATAATAAAATCGATAATACCTTATTTTAACTTTATATTAAGGTGTCGCACTGTAAAACTCTCATCCTCCACTGTCTTTATGAGTGAATGACAAAGAGCACTGCACGTGGAGTTTGAATCAAGGACTGTCCATCCACAATAAAAGGATGATATATCATAATGAAAACAAAATACATATATATATATATAGGTAGATATTATATATATATGATGAATTTAGAAGGGAAAAAACATAAAATTACAAACAGATCCTCAAAGAAACTAAATATTTCCGAAGAGAAAATCAGTGCTTTACTTTCATAGTCCACCCTTATAATTCTCACTCATTGTATTTGTTGCTTAAAGCTTGGCCCCTTCCCTTATCCTCTCTCTCTGTCTCTCTCTGTCTCTCTCTGTCTCTCTCATCGGTGTTTGCAGAGATAAGAAAAATAACTCAGCTGCAATCTCTTCCATCTAAAAGGAATTTGCAAGCAAACACATGACAACGTTTTTGAGAAAAAAAAATGACCCACTAGGCCACCAAAGTGACTGAATTGAGGGTCACATACAGATCATGTACTAGGAGAGCCAAAAACAAATATAATCCTTCTTTCCCACACATGATCATGGATGAAAATGGGATCTGCAGGCCCAACTTCCCTCTTCAGCTCCTAGAAAAGAAGGAACAACCTCGTTCCGACGCCGAGACGAGCTCCAAAACGACCTTGGAACAGCCCAAGAAACCTCCCCCTAAGAGGACTTCAACGAAAGACAGGCACACCAAGGTGGAAGGCCGTGGCCGCCGCATCCGTATGCCCGCGACGTGTGCCACTAGGGTGTTCCAGTTAACGAGAGAGCTAGGTCACAAATCGGATGGCGAAACCATTGAATGGTTGCTTCAACAAGCTGAGCCTGCGGTGATTGCTGCTACGGGGACAGGTACTATCCCTGCTAATTTTACGTCCCTTAATATTTCACCGAGAAGTTCAGGCTCTAGCATGTCGGCTTCCCACTTGAGGAATACTTTTTTCAATCCAAATTTTACTACACAACAATTGAGGATGAGAAGTGAATGGGATCAAACTCAAAGGAATGCCCTTGACGACTCATCTCAACAGCAAAGGAGGGTTTTATTTCCGGGCGTTGCTTTATCGTCCCAAGGTTCATTAAACTTTCTCAGTAGTAGTAGCACTAGTTTGAACGCTTTCTTGCAAGCTAAGCAAGAGGTTCGGGATGCTAGCGTCGACGTCGCTGAGACAGCAGATACTAGCATAGCGAAAAGGAGGATGCCGGAGCAGCAAGAATTGCAACAAAGTCAGATGGGGAGTTACTTGATACAATCTAATGCTGGTTCAATTCCGGCGAGTCATAATCCGAATCCGACAACATTTTGGATGGTGACTAACCCCGGAAACCAAGTCATAGGCGGGAGTGGCGCCGGGGATCCCGCGTGGACATTTCCATTTGCTACTAATACTAATATGTATAGAGGTACTATGTCTAGTGGGGTACATTTTATGAACTTTGCTACCCCAATGACTCTCCTATCTGGCCAACAATTTGGTTCAGGAAATGGTGCTGGTGGTGATTCAGTTACCGACACTCATTTAGGCATGCTCGCGTCACTTAATACTTCTAGACCGATTCCGGGTACCAACGCTTCCGAGTCTCCTGCCAGCGGATCACTTCCACACCACGGCGGAGAAAACAGGCATGATTCAACTAGCTAGTGTTCGGCCATGGCATTAAAGCAAACTACAAAGTGTATGGCTTGATCATGCTTTATTTATTTTTTTCACTTATATATTTTTAGTAGTACATATATGTGAAATTTGCAGCACAGGCTCAAGTTTGAATGCTATGAAACTGATTTTGGTGTGAGTATAAATTAGATAATTAAACATTTTCAGCATCACTTAACAAAGTTAATCTTCATGCTCCAAGAGTAGATTTCATTAGGTTAGGTTTAACAAACTCATCATTAGTTCACTAAAATGGTGAGGTTTTCAGTGCATTAATCACTGATTAACTGCTTTTGAGGTTTGCATTAAGAAATAGAGAGGAAAAGGGCCACACGTGATGAGAGATTAATTGTTTCTCAGGTGGACCTTTTGGTCTCTGAAAGCAGTAAGCAATCACTAACTACAAACAGACCCATTTCTCTTCTTCTTCATATAAGGAAGTAATCTGCTGGTTATACACAGACTCATTGTGTGATTTATTATTAATGTACACACACCTGTCACCATATATATCAACTCATACCGTATGTTTATACTCATGTTTGAACCGTTCATCATGTCAACTCTATTTGTTTGTTAATGGAAGCCCTACATAACCCAAGTGGGGATTTTCTTCTTCGTCTTCCTTCTTTTTCTTATTTGTATTGGTAGAAGCTACTACAATGGTGATTTCATTTAGGTTTTCTATATTGGGAAACCTTTATCTGGCAGCATATCTATGAAGATTCCCATTCTCAAAAAGAGTAGCTCTTATATTTCTCTAACTATATAACTAACTAGGGCTTCTTTTGTGACTTGCACCGCCTGATGATTACGGCTTATGCATCGGTAAATATTGAAATAATAAACATTTTGGTCCTTCATGAATCCTATTATTTATGTCTTAGATCCCTGTCAGATTGCTTTGTTTTGCAGCATTAACTAATAATTCAAGACTGGGCTGCATACATGTCAGTGTAGGGTAGTTATGATTGATTTAATTAAGGAGTCAGGTACCTACTTCGTAGTTACTACTGTCTAACAAGGAAAAGGATTGTAGTTATATTTGACGTTGTACAAGCTTTTTATGTATATCACTGTAAATATTTATATAAAGAAATAGGTTGAAACATAAATTATTCAATAAATCTTAGAGATAATAAAACATTAAATATAAATCTTAGAGATAATTATATATGCACGTTGCGTTTTAGCTGGCGATGGTGCTGCTAAAGTCTAAACTGAGTGGTAATGAAAACACAGCGTGAAGTGGTGCATTTGCCCAGTACTCAATGACTTTTCCAACTAAGATGCCATCTTTGCTTGTCAAGTGCAACAGAGCCTTCCGATCTGCTTTTATCATACGTCTCGTTGAAACGACCGTACAATTTTCAATCTATACCACTGACAAGTTTCTCACTCATTCAACGCAACCCACACTTAGTCCATCCATACATCTCATCCTACTAAATCTATCGCTACTTCACCATCCGTCGTCATAAAAAACTGATTAGCAGTTCCTATCAAAATTGTCTCTCATGAATGATGATTTTGGCAATATTTTTCTCTGTAATATGTATGACCCAGACTAATCTTTATTGCATGGTTAAGATCATAGATTAACAATATCCATATATTACATTTGAACATTCAGATACATTTGGTAAATGCACGTATGCTTAAAATGTATATATAAGTTGAGGGTCCTAAAAGTTGAAACATAAACCCAAAATGTTGCATGAATTCATGGTCCAACGTGAATACAAAAGATTTCTGGAAGCCCAACCAGACCAAGGCCGTAACCTATGCCTTGCTTGCTTAGTGCACTGCAGACCGTGATTTTAGGTAGCTTCTCGATAAAATTATTAAAAAATATGTAGGAAAAAAAAGCATTCGGATTACATTTAATGTATTCAAAAAGTAATTAATAACGATTAATATATCATTATCTAATGTATTAAAACTTGTCTTCATATGTTTAATGGGTGTTATCATCCAATATGTGGCATGTTTATGTTGGTGTTTTGATGCGAGGGAACAGATAGACGATCACAGGTGATGATATTCAAAGAAATTCGGTGCCTCTTTTCCCGTGCAGCATAAGATTCTCCGATTCAACCTTTACCCCACAAATTCACTTTCAAAGTTTAATCCACAAACCTTTCACATTAACCCCCCGCACTTTCTCTCCTCCTGCTTTTCACAGCTTTAAAGCAATCTGCAAAGCAAAAGGAGTGAGTGAGTGAATGATGGGTAACCAGCAGAACTTTCTTCAAGTTGTTGCCAAGAACTTTGATGTTCTCGCTTTGTATGTCTCTTTCCTTCCAACCCTTTACTTCATTTTCCACTTTTTCTTTTTTTCTAACTGGCTTCTTGTTTTGCTCTGGCTTATTACAGGCCTTTGGTCACTCTTGTTTACCCTCTGTAAGTATGTTTTCTCTTCTTTGAACCAAGTGACGTTGTTATCACTAACAAGATTGCCATTTTTCGTGGCAGGTATGCTTCGGTTAAGGCCATAGAGACGAGGTCCAACAACGATGATCAACAATGGCTGACCTATTGGGTCCTTTACTCTCTCATCACACTTTTCGAACTCACATTTGCCAAACTCCTTGAATGGTAAGTAAGCGAAAAAGCAAGCTGCCTGTTTTTTATGTAAGAAGAAACTGAAGCAGTGGTTGAATCCCAGGTTTCCGATTTGGCCATACGCGAAGCTGATATTCACATGCTGGTTGGTGCTGCCTCACTTCAATGGCGCGGCCTACGTTTATCGTCACTTCATAAGGCCATTTTACATGAACCCTAAACGCGCCACCAGTACATTATGGTATGTACCTCGTAAGAAGAGTATTTTCAGCAAGCAGGATGACATTCTAACTGCTGCCGAGAGGTACATTGAAGAGCATGGCACTCACGAATTTGAAAGGCTTATAACCAAGGTAACATCAACACATGCGGTTTGGTTATATAAGTACGTATTAACATAAGTAACAACTTAATTACTTTATGAGTTTAAAATGTAGTATTATTTATACTTGATTTGCAGGCTGAGAAGGAAGAGAGGGTACGACGCAGCAACAATTACATGATCTTTGATGATGATTACAGATATTGATCTCTTAATTTATCAACTTTCTTTTGCTGTAAGAAATGCCAATCATATGCGGATCTTCTTCTATTTCTTTTGTTTTGTACGATCAGCGTTTGGAAAGCTAATATTTTTACAGCACAATTCGGAGATAATTAATATAATATTTTATAATAAATGCAATACTAGCCGACGGCTGTCATGCTTCCATCGAGGCAGAATAAACTTTATAATCGAGCGGGCAAGTGGAGCTTTCGTCTCAAAAATTTTATAATTTTATTTTTATTTTAAAATTTTTTAAATTCGTTCTCTTAACATAACATAAGATCTCGTGATCCCCCATAACCACCAACCTAATGTCTGCTCCAAATGAAGTAAACTGCAATGCAATTTACCAATGCAAAGCCCTGTATGTATAGTTTCAGTAGCAACAGAAGCTGAAAGTAGCCAAGTTAAAGATTCTTCGTTTTCAGCATATTCATAGGAAATTGGGTTCTTGGGCTAGTAAGGGTGTAATCAATCTCATTAACAGTCCAAATAGAAACTATAGATCAGGTTTCTATGCCATGGAGCAGAGCTTGGTCCAACCTTGTTAGCCCAACCTAAATGCATATTGACGACATTCCTTTTATCGGCGACCACTCTCAGCACCACAGATGGATATATTTGGCATGATAAATTTGTTGAAAGCTTAATTGCAATTTCTCACTACAATAAATGAGTTATTTTAATTGGAGAATATTTAAGTACGTTTAAATTTATACCATTATTTAAAGTATAACAATAATAATATCAATTAAATTAAATTGGATTGATACATCCAATCAAAATTCAAATAATATATAGGTGACATAAAAATTGAAGCAATAACAATTTGGTGGGGTATTGATTTAGGATATTTGGTGCGGAGATAGAGAGAGGGAACTTAGGAATAGATTGCATGGTGGAGCCACAAACCCAACTACTAGAGGTTCTAGAAAAGCAAAAGGAGATGGAGAAAAACAAGCAAAGCCAGCCTGTATAACTATATACCTCCACACGTACTCTCCTCCTTTCTGTGGTTTTTGGCTACCTGATTTCCACCACTCAACCAACCACTTTTTCCCCCTTTTTCAGACTTCTTTGGATTAATCGTATCGCACACCTGATTTTAGTAGGTAAGTACTTCAACGAAGATTTTCTACATGCATAAATTTTCAAACTTGAAATCCACTTCATTGATATCAAACTGTTTATCACTTGAACCAATGATGTTAGTTCAACCAACCACTTTCTTCCTACAATTCTATATAAATTAAATACTATCATAACATTAAATAAATAATTATTTAAATCAAATTAAAATTGTATTTATTTTGTTAATGTATAATTTTATACATGTATCAAATAAAATTCTTATCTTCTAAATATGTATTTTGTTTTTATAAATAATTAATTTAGTTTGTCTGACCCATGGGCTGGATAAGATCTTTTGACCCAATTTTACAAATAGATAGATATACGCAGGGAAAATTAGGTCCCTTTAAAATAATAAAATTGTATAAATTTATTTTTAAAATTGTAAATTTATAAGTTAATGTATTTTATCCATTATATAATAATAAAATTATGGTTTAATTCTTAAGGAACCTATAAAATCATTAAATTACATGATTAACTCTCGAGAAAAATTGAATAATTTAATTTATAACACAAAATATTTTATGATTCCATCGCCGAATATACATAAAACTTGGAAGTAGCGTTGTTGAAGGTGACGGAAAGAATGGGGCAAGTGGAGATAGGAAGGAATAGTAAATAGGATGGGACATTTTGATGCCAAAGGCCCAACCAACTTGTGCTGCCCTTCTTTCTTAGTTTATGATCCACATAATTGCTGTACCACTGCCCCATTTCCTCCTCCTTTTGCAATTATTTTCAATAATGCAATTGGGTACTTTTAGACCATTTTAAACATCAAAGTAGTTAATATATATAAATGATATAATTATTAATATATGAAAACATGCTTAAAAAATCAGACATATTCGAAAAATGTGAAAAACACGAACAAAAATTAAAAATGACTTCAATTTTTATAGTGAGTTTCGAAATGCAAACAAAGAAGACAAAAATTTGGTCCTTTTTTTTTACTTAAAACGTCAACATTAAAATTGGTCCTTTAATTTATGTGATAGCCTTTTAAAAAAGTATTATACTCTCTTTTCACAAGTTTTAAGGTATTTGAATGTCCAAATAAAAAACAAACACGACTTCCATTAGTCAAATCTTTTAAAGCTACGAATTTCCCATTTCAATTTGTGCAATGGTATTGGTGCTTGCTTGACTTATCCTAGATTATTATTATTATTTAATTAATTGAGGTTTGATAGGGTATTTCAAGGGAGAAAAATGCAGCAGACAGTGAGATTTATTGTCCTGTTTTGGTCATGAATGTATTATGTAAGCTCTTGGATTTGGTTGTTAAACAGCAAGTGTACATCTGAAACGTCATAAAAGCTCAAGTTTCATATATATGCTTTGCTGATGACACAAAGAGCTCAGTTATTGGTGTTTAGAGTATTTTGAATATATTGTATGAGATGTGAGGCGTGAAATTAATCCCGCTATATGAGAGTATTTACCGTTTGGGTAAAGTATAGTAATGGTCACTAAACTTTTCTAAAGATTTCATTTAGGTCCCCCAACTTTTAAAACTTGCAATACAGTCCCCTAACATTTAGTCCGTTTGCAATATGGTCCCCCAACAGTTACTTCAAGGATCATATTTCAAACGGACTAAATGTTGAGAGACCATATTGCAAATGGACTAAATGTTGAGGGATTGTATTGCAAGTTTTAAAAGTTGAGGGACTTAAATGAAAGCTTTAGAAAAGTTCAGTGACCATTACTATACTTTACCCTTAAAATAAGTGACCAAATACTGAGTTTACCCGATTAATGAAACAACAATAGTTTTTCTCAAATCCAATACCATATTTAGAATGAAGGCGAGACTAATCCAAAAGATTACTTAAAGTGTATTAACAGTTTTATTGTTGGGTAAACTACACATTTAGTATATTAATTATTAGTTTTTTGTTTGTTTTAATACCTAAACTTTTAATTTTTTTAAAAATCATATATATCGTTTAATTTTTGTTTTATTTCAATACCCGTTAAAAACGTAACATTAAGTTTTGAATTTTTTTTGAAAGTTTAGTTAATAAAACGGACTAAAACTGGTAGTTTATATACTATACGTGTTATATTTACATCAGTAGGGTACTAAAATGAAATATAAAACTAAATATTAGACATAATTTTAAAAAATTGAAAGTTTAAATATTAAAACAAATTAAAACTAATAAATTATGCACTAAACACGTAGTATTATTTTGTTTGGACAAATTTACAGAACTAATATAATTTCCTTGATTATTTGGCTTACATGAATCATTACCTCCTAAACTATATCATTTATATCGAGTTATTATCTAAAATATTATTCAAAACATTATACCCCTCTAAATTTTAAATTGGTACTTCAAATGTCCCAATCCGTTAATTATGTTAGAAAAAATTCAGTAACGAATCATAATACGGCATGTCACAACTTAATTTCAATTTTTTGTAATCTGAAAATCTGTTAAAAAATAAAATAAATAATATTTTAATGATTAAAAAATAAAACATTTAAATCGGGGCTTTTACACGGCAAGTCGCTGCCGGAATTACAGCTCTTGCTCCCGATGTTGTTAGGAAAGCATTTGTCCATCAAAACTACCTTATCTTACATCAATCTCCTGAATTGGTTCATCGATTTGTGATGGTTCTAACGAAGAAGAGAAAGCGCCAGTGACCGAGATTGTTGATGAGGTTATTGACGATTCACAGATGGTCGCTGATTCTAGCTCCAAAATCGAAGAAGTCATTTGCATCTATTCTGAAGGTTAAGAAGGAGAATGCAATCCATGTATCAATCCCTACAAATTTCCCTGTGAAGTCTTCAGCAAAATCTCATGAGCAACTGCACCAATGGCTGCTCCTGCAACAGCATCTCATTCACAAATTTCCAGCAACAATCAAGGTCTCTCTGTCTACATCAAAGGTCTACCTTGGAATGCTACAGCTACACCAAGCATGCCGGGGAATGAATTTCAGAAGTTTGGATCTATTAAGAGTGGTGGTATTCAAGCTCAAAGCCAGAAGCCCAGAAAGGGTTTTGTTTTGGTTTCGAGGAATTTGAAATGGTACGTTCTCTGCAGAGTGCTATAGAGGCTTCATTTATTAATATTGGTAGCCGTAAAGCTGTTGTTGAAGAAAAATGATCTACTTCTCGAGATAACAGAGGTCGGTTCAACTGTCGTCTGACTCCGACAAAGTTACTCTCTCCCCACGACACCGTCTCGTGGAAGGAATCGGACCAGGGAGGCGTTGGCTCATCAGTTGATGGGAGTGGTCAAGGATTACGCCAGTGAAAATGATGCTCTAAAGGGAGGCTTCAGGTTGCCGAAAGGAGCAATAATTTTTTTATAATTAAATATTGGATAAAGTATAGTAATGGTCACTGAACTTTTCTAAATATTTCATTTAGGTCCCCTAACTTCTTAAATTTTCAATAAAGTCCCTCCACTTTTAGTCCGTTTGCAATATGGTCCTCGACAGTTGAGGGACCATATTGCAAAGAGACTAAATGTTAGGGGATTGTATTGCAAGTTTTAAAAGTTAGGAGACCTAAATAAAATATTTAGAAATGCTCAGTGACTATTACTATACTTTACCCTTACCGTTTTTATGCATCATGAATGATGATGATACGTATAAAGTGTATGAGCCATCCCACATCCATCATGCATTATGTATTTATGATGGATGGATGGGAGAACCCATCATCGTCATCTCACATCGAAGGTAGGTCCCATCACTGTCCAAACACCGACATCAGCAGTTTGATATTTCCTTTATTATCCTCTCGGTTCCCACTCCTTTTTATTTATTTCCTCATCATACTGCACGCCAAGTCACGGGCCAATAATTAATTAGTTTTTGGACTCATTGCCTGTTTTTTGCTTCTTATTTTTAACTTTTCCGTGGAAAAAAGTGACAGTCACCACCTCCAATCAAAGAGGAGAGAGGACTGTGATTGGATCTCAGAACCGTTTACCAATCACCTTGGAGCGTGCCTCCACGTCCTTGGTCGGAGAGTAAGATATGGTGACCATTAACGAACAAAAACCTTACCCCCAAATTAAAGCTATCCAATGACAAAAGCATCCTTATAAACGTTCCTCGATAAGGGCAATTATTAAAATTAATTTCGAGATACGTGTTTTATTATTAAATATTTTCATTTATCATTTATCATTAATAATATTTTAATTAATATATTATCACCGTCTTCGGAAATTATTGTCATTGTGCTCCTATAAAAAAAACAGAGAAAAACTCTAGAACAAAGCCTGTTATATTTTGTGCACAAATGAACCAAATACAATATATATTACTATGTTTTGATATTTGGTTAAACTACAAGTGAAGTGTTATAAAAAAATAATTTTAAATCTTTGGCAAACATTTGTTAAAAGTTGGACCATCTATGAAAATAATATATGTATTGATACTTTCGAATGACATTTTTAATGGCAATAATATGAATTGTTTGGGGATTTAAATATGTATTTTTATTTGTTTTTGGTCATTAAAATGGGTATACTTATTATGCGTACGTACCATCGTTTAAAGGCTTTTTTATTACTATACGTACGTACAGGTTGCTGCATCTTCTTTTTTTGCCTTAAAAGAAAATTCTTAATTTTCAAAATGCTGTTCATCATCTCAATGAGAGATAATTTAATTAGGAAATTCGAGAAAAAATATGAACAATCTTCCCTTTCTAAAACACTTAAATTTTGTAATGAACAAAGGAACATAGGGAAAGTCCTGATATTTTCAAAGAGAGAGGGTCCAAAATAAATTAACCCAGAAACTTAAACACCTTCAATCCCGAAAATGCCTGAATTTGGTGGGGTAATATACCTCTAATGCGGTTGAGGGGCTGCAGACTTTGCTTTAGTTGGGAGGGGAGAAGGAAGTGAATTGTTTCTCTCTCTAAGGGAGGATATTTTTTCATGTTTGCCCCCACACTCCCCAGTTTTTCCCATTTATCTAATTTTCACTCCTACCGTTACTTTCATCTTAGTATTTTTTTTTCTTTGGCCATAATACTACATGAACAATTCAGACTGTAACAAAGTATAGTAATTAGCCGCCTCATCTTCAAGCTCCCATAGCCCATCACACAACGCAAAACCATTTCCGCCATTGTCGAAACCTTCATCGAACTCAACACCCAAAACACTTTCTCTATTCGGAATCCCAAGCTCATCATCAGAAGCTTCGAGCAAATGCCTAATGACTTGCTCTTTATCATCGACCCGTAAATCCTCGTCTCCTTTCAAGGAAGAAGTTGCCGTCGTGCGGTCTTCTATGCTGACCATGCAGTTGCTGTTAGTCATCCCGGCAGGGTTCTGTTGGTCGTGGGCTTTTAAGGGCGTCGTCGTCGGAGGGAAAGGGACGTCTAAAACGGAATCCGAAGAGAGCTGTTGTTGTAAAGAGGTGATGAGAGAAGAAACGTCTTGGCTTTGGTCCACCTCTTCTGCTTCGAGCAAAGAGAGTGTATGATTGTATGATTTGTGGCGTTTTGTCTCTTCAACGAGTTCTTCGTTTGAGCTCTGGGTTTCTTCTCTTTGGCGCTTTGAAGGCATCTGCTCAGCCATTACAGCAAAGAAGAGGAAACAGAGGATATTTTGAAGGTGATGAGATGGAAGAGAAGGGTAAAAGAGAGGATGAGGAGAGAGATGGATGGTCGAAAGGAATTATATAAGGTTATTTGGTATAACCGACACTTTTTTTTCTGACACCATTTAACTAATATTTCTAGAAGTAGTACCTTTTCTGTTGAGTTGGTAAAGGCGCGTCTCCGGGGACGCGCTTTACCCGTGTTTTCGCTGAGTTGGATGTCACGTGTGGAAGACGCATCCCCGGGAACGCGCCTTTGTCAACTCAGCAGACACGTGTGGAAAGCGCATCTCCGGGGACGCGCCTTCCATTAAATGTCATAAATGCCCCATCCGTTTTTCCTAACTACCCCTCCTCCTACCCTATATAAACCCCCTCAACCCTCCCTCATTCTTCACACCAAAATCATCTTCTCCTCTCTTATATAACTCAAATTCTCCAACTATTTGAGTTTTAAATTTGTTATTAGTGGTAAGAAATTTATTTTTATGTTAGTATTTTTTTAAATAGTTATTATTTTTTATATTAATATATTTATGTAAATATTATATTTTTTATTAAAATAATATTTATATAATTATTATTTATTTAGAATTATTAATTTTTTTTACTAATTATATTGTTTTGTCTACAGTTATAATGGAAAACGAAATGCTGTTGCGATTGGATATTGATCATATCTCCAGACATTTTAGCGATATGGTAATATTTTTTATAATTAATGTTAATATTTAAATTTATTTTTATTTTAAAGTTATTATGAATTTATATTAATTTTTATTTTTTATAATGTATATTATTTAGGATGCTGATCGTATTTTAGAGACTTTTATTAAAAATCCACGTATACCGACACCGGAACGTATTTTGCCATATTTGGCTTCTGCCGGGTTCGGGTATATTGCAACAATTATAGGCGGTTGCAAACTCGAACATGTCCTAATTTCTGCACTGATTGAGAGGTGGAGGCCCGAGACACACACTTTTCACCTTCCATGTGGAGAGGCGACAATTACATTGGAGGATGTCTCTATGCATCTGGAGCTTCCCGTTGACGGAAATATGATGTGTGGTATGGCGGATGGTGATTGGCAATCAATGTGCATTGATTATCTTGGAGCTGCTCCGCCAGAGTTTAATGGAGGTAGAATAGCTTTATCTTGGTTGAAAGCTAATTTTGAGGTTTTAAATGAAAATGCTTCAGAGGATCAAGCAAAGGCATGTGCTCGGGCATATATTCTACGAATAATTGGAGGAATATTGATGCCCGACAAATCTCACAACCAGGTGCATTGTATGTGGTTGCGGCATCTGATTGATTTTGATGAAGCTGGAAGATATAGTTGGGGTGCTGCAGTTTTGGCATTTCTCTTTAGAGAAATGTGTCGGGCGACGAATTATAAGAAAACTGCTATCGGTGGATGTCTTCTGCTTCTACAATCATGGGCGTGGTTCCGCATGCCTTTCTTATGCCCGATCGTGAATGAACCATACGTATTCCCCCTTATTGTTGATGTAATTTTCGAACTAAATTTTGATTTAAATATTTTCAATTAAATAGGGTGATATTTAGTTTATATTATATTTCATAGGTGGTCGATGAAAAGAAAGGACCATAAAAGTATACCTACTGGGTTAGAAGAAATTCGTTTACTTATTGATACGAAAGCTGGGTCTGAGGTATGTTTTTAAATTTGTTTAATTATTAATATTTTAATTTAAAATGTTAGATATAATTAGAATATTTTATTTATTTGAATTGTATATTTATATTTCAGTTTCAGTGGATACCTTATGCGAGCGATGAAGTGAAAGCTTGCATCCCACCCCACCTTAGTGGGTCATTAGAGGTATGGATATCGGTTATACCTCTTATATGTTATGCTATTATTGAGTGGCATCCAGTTGATCGCGTGCTCCGTCAGTATGGTTGTACGCAATATATTCCTGGAGCTCCTAGGAATTTAGACGACGTGCATAACATAGATAGACGAGGGAAGAAAGATGTTAACTGGGTGGTGAGACACAGAGATTGGATTGCGCTTTGGGAGAACCGATATACACTGGTGGCCCCTCGACAATATTACGCTGAAACTGGTCATATGGTTACGGATAACTATATGGATTGGTTTAATGAAAATGGGAAGCCGTTTCTACTTTCGGCGGAAGCACGAGGGGTTAACATTCCTAGGCGCCGAGAAAAACGTCAACCGTCTCAATATCATCGTCCCCCGACGCGTGGACGGAGAGAAGGCGCTACCGGTTCTGCATCAGTCCCACCACAACATCCTTATTCATCGATGCCGCAGGGGTACATGCCCAGCCCTCCACTTCATATGCCAAGCCCACCAGTTTATATGCCATCTTCGCAGGGTTACATTCCGAGCCCGCAGGGTTACATTCCTAGCCCGCCAGGTTACATGCCTAGCCCGCAGGGTTTTATACCATATGGAGGTGCATATACGACTATGTTTAATGATTCAGCATATGGTTCATATGCATCTTATTTGGCTGGTGGTGCTTCTCCGCAGACACCTCAATCTCCATCTGGATCACAGACATCGATGCCAATGTTTCCACAGTTTTCACAGTTCCCGGGGAGCGGTGGGATTGTTACTAGCACTCCTCCAGGGTCGTTATTTTATACAGGCCCTTCAGCCCATTCAGCGTCATCTACACCAAATGAAGAAAATGCTGCTGATGATGATAGTGAAGATGAGGAGACTGAAGAACAAGTTCCACGAAGAAATCCTCCACGAAATAGACAACCACCGCCATGTGGAACTCATTCGAGAAGACGACATCGGTGATCCAGTTATATTTAATGTTATTTAAATAATTATATTTCAGAATTTTATGTAATTTGGTTATGTTATTTAAATGTTTCATGGTTGTTACATACATATTTTTTAATGTTATTTTTTATTCACATTTAACATTAAATGTTTGATAAATGTTTTTAAAATACAAATTATATTATTCGAAATTTAAAATAAAAATAAAAATAATATTATTCAAATTTAAATTTAAAATATAAATTATAGTATTCGAAATTTAACATTAAATTTCAACTTAATATTCCAATTGTATTCGAAATTAAAAGTTATATTCCAATTATAGTTCACAATACTTAAATTGAAATTAAATTTATCCATACATATGATTTTATCATTAACATATATATTAAAACGTATACATTAAAATCAACTTATGTTGAGTTCATCGATCGACGGAATCGGCCAAGAGGGGGTGAATTGGCAATTTATTCAATGTCACATTTCAATGCTCATTTCATACAATTTCAATGTCACAATCAACTTATCACTTCACATTTATTCAATTTATCCATACAATCTAGTGTCCCTGAGGGACATGAGTGACATAATAGGGCAATGATAACATATTCTCTGATGAAATAATGGAAGGCGCGCCCCCGGGAACGCGCCTTCATGTGAATAGTGAAATAATAGGTACTGATATATCGGGTGTCCCCGAGGGACATGAGTGACATAATAGGGCAATGATAACATATTCTATGACAAAATAATGGAAGGCACGCCCCCGGGAACGCGCCTTCATGTCCCCTGAGAAATAATAGGTACTGATATATTTAGTGTCCCCGAAGGACATGAGTGACATAATAGGGCAATGATAACATATTCTCTGACGAAATAATGGAAGGCGCCCCCCGGGAACGCGCATTCATGTCCCCTGAGAAATAATAGGTACTGATATATCTAGTGTCCCCGAGGGACATGAGTGACATAATAGGGCAATGATAACATATTCTCTGATGAAATAATGGAAGGCGTGCCCCCGGGAACGCGCCTTCATGTGAATAGTGAAATAATAGGTACTGATATATCGGGTGTCCCCGAGGGACATGAGTGACATAATAGGGCAATGATAACATATTCTATGACAAAATAATGGAAGGCTCGCCCCCGGGAACGCGCCTTCATGTCCCCTGAGAAATAATAGGTACTGATATATCTAGTGTCCCCGAGGGACATGAGTGACATAATAGGGCAATGATAACATATTCTCTGACGAAATAATGGAAGGCGCGCCCCCGGGAACGCGCCTTCATGTGAATAATACTCCGATTATAGACACTATTATATGCAACGTATTATAAACTTTCAAAACAAACTTCAGTTCACAATCTTTCAAATTCTCAAATTCCCAAACTCTAAATTCTCAAATTCTCTGAAAATGAGTCATCTTTCTGCTGTTGTTTTGTATGATGGAGAAATTAAGAAAGCTGAAGAGGGGGTTGTTTTTGAGTCAGATCATTATATCCCCTTAACCTTGAAGAGAAACATCACAATTGAGGAGTTAATCACAAAAATTTCGTTAAAGATTAATGTAGCAGGCCAGAGAAGACTATCTTCACTTCAGTACAGATTTCCTACTGAACTTTTTCCGCTCACGTATACATCATTTCAGCTTTCAAACGATGATGATGTTTCTATGATGGTTGATGCTCATATGGGGAGTTCACAATCTCTTATTGAAATGTATGCCACTTTTATTGAGGTTCGTGCAACTCGTGGTCTCTCATATTCCTCTCACTTTGGCATTGCATATCAAACTGATCAAGTTGATAGCCCGACACAACTGATCTGTAATGATTTCACATCATTAATGGCGGATCCAACGCCATATACCATGCCATCAAGTTCAATAGGAAGGCATTCATCTGCAACTGCTTATGATCTCAACCCACGTGGCTTCACCAATAATCCATATGGCAACATCTCTTCTACTTCAAGGGGAAGACATTCATCTGCCAATGTTTTCGACTTACATATGGAAATGCCAACGAGACGACAGTCTATTCACATCCCACATGATACAATGGCCTCAAGTTCAAGGGGAGGACACGCAAGCGGGAACTTATTTGACCTCAACATTAGATTATCGGAGGAACCCTCATCTCCACCAGAAGAACCTCTTCGGGAGCCAGGTGCAGATGGTGCTGAAACGGGATTATTCGTTGAACCTGACTCACCACAGTTTAACGTACATTCTGATGATGACGAGGATGACGTTCCGAT